AGGAGTTATATCAATCATGGAAGGAGACCTACTCTTTCAGCGTTGGCGGAGAGTCATCTTTACCACATTCCTCGGCCTTCTTTTGCCTGGCGAGTAAGTGAAGGTAAAATAGACATGGAAGGATCAGAGACGCCAATACCATTGTAGAACCACCTGGAATGTGCACAGGCTGAGAGGCGACACAAAAATACTCAAAAAGGGACAAGTAAAGACATTCAGGCAGAGAGAAAGGCAAACAAGGAAAAATCTAAAAAATCTCAAGCCGTCACGGAGAAGACCACTTTCCGTGCTGCGACAAACACACTCTGCCATCCTGGACAAGTACGAGAAATGCATCGAAGACTAGTGGGCCCTCGACCTTTCTAGAGTGCCAGGAAAGACTTGGGGAGACCCAGGGGTGAATCGAGGATGAGAGTGAAGCTATTCCGACAAGTGGTAGGGTGTGAGACAACTGGTGGAGAATGGAGAACCAGAACAGGCAACCTCACACCACTGAGGTCTTTATGTACCTGAAAAGGATTGGAGGATGATGTGAGAACGGTTGTGCATTTAGTTGGTTGCCGTTTAGCAGAGGACACCCACTGAAGAGTCCAGAAAGTTATCCACCAAAGAAATGCACTGGCCCTCTGGTTTCAAGGGGAAACAAACGATGCACCTTAAAGGAGGGGTAGAGAAAGATAAAAGCAAGAGCAGTAACGAAACTGCTACGGGGAGAAATTCACCCGAGGAGAGAGAGGCAGTAGACAGAAGTGAGCGAACCTTAGTCCCCTTAGCACATTTCGCATATCACCTTCGTCGCTCCACTTTCCGAAATGTAGGCCAGCATTTGTTTGACACTCTATTTGATAACCTGGCTCCCTGACCATAACTATTACGTCTACATCAGGGCCCCATTTCTCTTATCACTGCTCATACCGCCAGCGAGCTAAAGTCCTGCTGGACCGCGTAGGAGGTATAGCAGGAGCTCAGCATCGTTGGGAGAAGGAGATCTATCGGGGTGCGCCGTAACAGGTCGTTGGAGAGGGGTCGTATCTGGTCGGTGGATGTTCGCCTGTGTACATCCCGAGTCGACGAAGAAGACGCACAAGTACTAGCAGCCATACTTCTAGTGGTTGGAAAGTTACTCGACTGGTGACAATCCAGCCCCTCCCCCACTGACACGGGCATTTTTCGCGGAAAACTAGGAAAAATAGGAAGGCAGTAGTTGGGTAAGGGGTGGGGGGGGGCTGCAGATGCATATATTTCTCAAATCACGATGCTGGGTATAACAGCTTGGGTACCCCTGGGTATAACGGCTTAAATACTAGCTCAACCGTGTCGCTATGAGGAACCTCTCAAACGTTCCTATGATTCCGGATGGATTACGAATGCCTGGCGTACGTCTAATGGTATACCTCCTCTATTTATTCTTTTGCCTTCCACAAGCTAGCCAAGGAGTGAATCTGAACCCTTATTTATGAGCATACCAACAAGATCCACCATGGGTCCGAAATTGGGAATACTTTCACCGACAAACACCACTGCCAGCATAGTTGCCGTTCGGAGAAGAACTCGCTGCCAACCAAAATCTGAAAGTGGATCTCAAAAGAAATCATGGGAATTAATCAATGTACATGCTCAATACGAACGGTGTGGGCAATGAAAGAGGTCCTCGAGATCCTGATTCAGCGGGTTCAGGACGATTGTCAAAGTCAGTATACAATGCAGAGTAATGAAGACATTGCATGCTTGTTGGATCCATATAGTCTGAAATTGATTTTGGTTCAAGTTACATAGTTAAGCAGAAAAAAAAAAAAAACGATTATACAAAATTTCTCCTGGAAGTTTATTCAACAGATGTACCTGTATTGATGGAAGAATGGAGTCCCTTATGGCATCGTGATAGGTCAGGAAGCCCAAGATGGCTATAGGACCATAACTAAAGAGGAGCACTGAAAACTGCAAGTATCGCATGGAGGGATAGCGGTTATGAAGGGGTGCAACGTACAAAAGGGCAGAAGCAGAAAACTTCACCGTCGCGAGCAGAGGCAGATCCTGGCTCTAAGGTTTTTATCGAGCGAAAGGGCACGGAGAGTTCATTCTTTACCATGCAAAACATTTCCTGTCTCAGGGGAAAACGCTTGAGAAATACGACATTCTTACGAACCCCCCTGTCCAATCTAACATCTTTTCTCATCTGCTCATCACTTCCCCAGTTTTCCGAAAACTTTTTCTATTCCAAGTACTTTCGAGTGGAGGGGGCGGGAGTCGCCACCGAACAACTGCTGAATCCAAAAACCGAAAATAGTAGTAGTTATACAGGACCTTGGAGGCGGGGCCAGTTAGGGACGGTTCTTGAAACGAC